TGGGCTTCAGGCTTTCAGCCCTTACTTATTTGGATCTAAGTCCATATTAAAAAAAAAAAAAAACCACTGAAGTACAATGTGCCATACATTAGTAAGTGAGATAAAATTAAATAAAAAATAAGTGAGATAAAATTCATATCTAAAAAGTCAAAAAATCAAATTAATTCTTTTGACATTAGTAAGTGAGATAAAATTAAATAAAAAAATAAAAAAAAAGGCAAACGAAAGAAGCATAAAACTCAAGCCCCAGCTACACATAAAACGACTTATATGGTTGCCAAGTCCCAAGTTGGGCGGGGTAAGCCTATTAAGACTACCTTGGAACTGTAATTAATAATAAGGATTGATTCAGTAACCAAAACTGGTCCATACATTGTTGGACCAATAAATAGAGCCCATCACATAGTTGGGCCGTAATGAGATGGGATGGTACTGACGGTTCAAGAGAGATCCAGATTAAGCCCTTTACTAAGTTTTATTTCAACGTCAGCCTTCTGAAGTGTACAAGGAGCGCAGTTAATAATTTTATAAAAATGTGAAATTATATTTCAATTGTGTTTAAGGATATATAAAATTTAAAATATTAGTTCTGTAATTATTCTGTAAACAATTTATAATCATACGTATTGTTCGAATTTAAGTAAATTGTCCCTTTTGATCATGATTACCTATTGGATCTTTTGAAACAATGTAATATGAAATGTGTTGATTGATATTTGTTTTTATTTTTAAAACTAAATTAATCAAATGTAAAAATCTGTTAATAAATAATTATTGCTAATGAAATTTATGATGCATTAGAATTATTTTGCCTATAATTATTAGATTGGATTATGATACTAATTTATTAAAGAAAAAAAGAATATAATCTTATTTTATATTATTTTTTATTTAAATTTGTGCAATACAAGATAATTCATGTTTCATCTCTTAATCAATCTCACTACCATTATATTTAGCTCAAAATTGTTTTATTAATTTTTAATGGAAAGAATTTTTGCGGCACGGTGGAGTTTAATATTGAATTTAATCTTAAAGTTTGAGTTTTTCCTGTAAGGTAGATTTCGTTTCCTACTCATTGACTGTAACTAAACTCCATGAATCTATTAGTGAAGATTCTTGCGCCTTGTTTCTGCATTTCAAAATGTGAATTATTATCATATAAATTAAAGTTCTACTATTTTAAACACAAATTTATTATTAAATCTTACTATTCCAAAATAGATCTGATGCTTTCACCCTCCACTGATTGGTAGACATCCATAAGCTTCCTACAAAATTTTGTAGGCATTGTCACAATTCTTCTCATCACTTCATTATTTGCATCAGTTTTACTGCAAGAAAAGCGTTACATTTTTTGTTTTCCATTCAAGAACATTTTGTTCAATTGTATTTCATGGTTTGTTGTTTTCAATTCAATAACACTTTGTTCCATATTTAAACTGTTGATAACCACACATTAATTATGAACAACCCACACAAAAAAAGGTTCGAATAAATTGAACAACCCACACTATTTTCGAGACAAGTTTTTACTTAAACCTTGCAAAGATTATTATTTTTATTTTATGAAAAAACTAATATCACTTGTCTGTCAAAAATTCAATTTATTCATGGTGGATCAAAAGTCTTCTAATTTTTAGTTACAAAGACAGAATGAATAATGCTAAAAGATGAAAAAAATAGTGAAACAGTACCACAAAATGAAGTTTTCTATTAAAGCCATAACCTTAACATCCTATGCTTTGCTAATGGATATCATTTGATCATTTAAAACTCATTAATTCAAGAAGAAGAAGTTGAAAAACCCCAGAGAAAGAAATCAAATGGATCATGAATAGAAGTAGACATGATCATGACCAGATATTAATTAGCTACTTGTTTCCTTACTAACCTTATGAACACATTCATCACTATTAACCCCTGAATTGCAAATACTTAAGATGTCAATATCATTATCTCCTCAATAATTAAGATATCAATCAAATGAAATAATACTTCATAAGACAGTATATATATAGTGGGGTTGAAATTCTCTTCAAATGAATATTATCTCTACCAAACCCTTCTATGCAAGTTTTTTATTTTAAGAGATCAATTAAATTAGATATCAATTGAATTATATTTACTTCATAAGACAGTATTATTTGATCAACTTCTTCCCTTGCGTGAATAATTAAGATACCAATTAAATTATATCTGCTTCAGTAAGCATAGGTTAATTGGTAATCTCTTCAAATCAATGTTAGTCTGAAGAATGAATTGAATGCTCAAACCTGAAAGGCGACAAGTGGATGGCGGCAATAGATCAATCGGTAGATTTAATCCATTAATTAAAAGGATTCAACTGTCATTGCCTTCACTACCTCCACTTGCAGTGCCTTTTGAACAGAGCTGTGATGAATTAATGAAGAAAAAGTGACGAACGAAAAAGAGTCTTAATTTCTCTCTAAAAAAACTTTATAATAAAGAAATTAACTCCATGGATATGAAGCTCTTTACTGAAAAGTAACTAATTTTATGTTTTAACAAAAAAAAAAAAAATGGTATTGTTTTGACCAGATGATATTTTAGTATCTTCCTATCATCGTGATCGAATACATTTAATAAAATAAAAGCGATATTAATTTTTCTCATGATAGCGATTAGATACAATTCAAAATTATTGAGAAGTCAGCACAACATCAACTAAAAGAACAATAAGAGCCCAAAAACAAAGATGAGCAGTGAAAACTCACCCTTGATAAACGGCTCATGAGCCAATCAAACAATGACATGACCTCCATTGTAATAACTCCATTATGTTTCTTTCTTTATAATATTTAGCTCTCCAGAGCTTCTAATAAGTGATTGTTGCTTGAGTGGCGGGATTTTTAGGTAACGAACCGAAACAATACAAGACTTTGACGGTGCTAGGCTCGTGAAACTACCCAAACAAAAGCAACCAACTCAATCTATATATAAAAGCAGTATTCCTTACTTGGTCAGCAATTAAGCATTTCTTTTCTTGATTGTAAACTTGAACAAAAAAACAGTTCAATGAAATCACAATGTCATTCATATAGGTCAGAAATTGGCCTATCCAGTATGTGAATCTTCAGAGTTACCTGGTTAGATTTGATAAATCTTGGTTGGCAGTGATTTCTAAGGGAACACTTTACCAAGAAAATTAATCCTTAGGTTTACTTGTAAGTTCAGGGATTGCAGAACGAATCAATCAATTGCTTCCATAAACAAATAAGAAGTGGTCATTTTGATTAACGTACCAGGTTCAAAGAGAACACGGCGACCGGAGGCTCAAGAAATCGTGCAATCTACTGCAGCGAAGAAGGATGTTTCGAGAGGAATCGCCGTTGATGCTGGTTCGAGACCGGCGAGTTGTTTATGTTAAGGAAGTGCTACTTGATATGATTCTCTCATTATTAAAGAAATTTATAATCTTTGATTCTGTACTGTGTAAATAGAAACTAGTTTTTCTGTTGCCTTTCTTATGTATCTTGGCCAATACTCACTGCTGTATATACATGTGATCGATTGTTAATAATATTATTATTCAAATTTGTCATTCACCTTGTCTTATTAGTGGTATCAAAGCCCTAATCTCTAACGAGTTTTGTTTCATTCACCATGACTGACAACTCACCCCCAAACTCACTATCCTCAAGTCAAGGTTTTGAAAATCGGATCGGATTGGATGGTTGAATCGATACCCGGTGATTTAAATGGTTTGGTTATATTTTTTGAACCATTTAAATGGTTAAATTGTTTGAAACCGTTCAAACCGATGAACCGTTTGAAACTGCTCAAACCATTCAATCGGACGGTTCAATGCTTGGGCATAAAATTTTGAGAAATTTGTGTCCGCCGGGATTTGAACTTGCAACCTCAGAGTCTTTAGGTTGATCGTTTGCCACCAGGACAATGGAATCCTTTAGTCAATGGGTGCTTGGACTTATATTTAACCCATATAAATCCCAAAGATTTTAACCATATTCCTGATTACAAGCTTGAGATTCGAACACTTAGGACCTGTTTGGTACAGCGGTTAAAATTCAGCGGATAACGGATAGCTGTATTGGGTAGCGGGTGGCGGTTAGCGGATAACGGAAAGTGGGTAGCGGATGGTAAATAGCGGATTCGATATATATAACTGTTTGGTTATACAAT